CATACATACATACATACGTACAGACAAAAATACATGCATGCATTCATGCATGCATGCATACATGCATGCGTACATATATACAGTAACACCTACATGTCATACTCGCATACATACATACATACATACATACATACACACACATACATACATACATACATACATGCATGCATGCATACATACATACATACATACATACGCACCTACATACACACCTATACATATATGTAGGTATACAAACATACATGCATCCATATATACATACATGTATGCATGCATGCATACATGCATACGCGCATACATCAATGCGTGCATGCATGCATGCATGCACACATGTATACAAGCACACACGTATCCAAACATATAATCATATGAGCATACAAGCGTACACACCTACATACATAAATACACAGGCATGCATACATACATGCGTACATCCATGCATACACACGTACACACATCCACACATTCATATACATATGCATACATATACACTCATTCACACATGTGGGCGTTGGCCCAAGACATTGTTTCTTGATATTACATAAGAGCTGCCCTGGTCGGCGTTTCGGGGGAGCGCGCCGATTTGGGTGGATCTGGGTTCCCGGAGGGGCCCAAGACCCTCGCGTTCCCCGCTCTCGAATCTGCGAACAGCACCAGCGTCGAGAATTGAGGCTCGCGGGCACGCGTATGCATATCAAAACGTCTGTTTGTGTAAGCGTGAGCTCGACGGGATCCGTGTGGATTTCTAGGATTGACGCTGGACCCCCCTGGTGGCACCTCCTGCGCCGCCCCTGGCGCGCTCCGCGCGCCTGGGAGGGAGGGGCCAGCGCCGATCCACGAGGTCGGTGCGGACCTTCGGATGCCTATGTCCACAGCCGTTCCTCGATCTAGGGCAGCAGAAATTTTTGAGACATCTTCGTCTTCGTGTCGCCAAGACGCTGGACCTTCGAACGCTCGTGTGCATGTGCAGTTCTGTTCTTCTTCCAGGCGTGCCGCACGTCGGGCCGGACGTGGGGCCCGCTCCTCGAGGGGGCGCTTCCTCCTCGGTTCGCATGGCCCAGGAGGACCAGGGTCTCTGAGAGTGCTGTCAGCCCTCCTGCTGGAGGCTGGAGGAGATGCCGAAGGCACTGGTGCGAGCTCCATCGTTTTCATTCTGCTCACGCACCACGTGCATTTGCCCACGTATTACATGTATGAGGCCACGGCCTCCACGCCATGCCTTGATGAGCACTGGCGGAGGCTCCCCACAGGAGCGCGCACGACTCCGGCGTTCACTTTGCTTTGCTTCGCTTCGTTTCGCTTTGCTCTGCCAGCTGCTCACGCACCGTCTGGTGGGATGCTCTGCTTGGCTTAATGCTTGGGGGCCTCAGCAGAGGCATCGGGGGTCTGCCTGGAAGCCGCGGATATCTTTCGGCAAGAGCGAGCGGCCGAGATTAACTTGGCTCCGAAGGGGTGATCAGGGGCTGGTACGCCCCCACTTGCGCCTAGTTCGCGAGCCCGTAGCCCGTCTTGCCACTTCGACCGCGCTGAGCGACCAACAAATTGTCTCTCGAGGGGGGCGGGAACCCTTGCAAGATGCTCCCTATCTCATTGGAGCCGCCCCCCTTCGGGGCACCCCGTCTAGCAGCGGAGTGTCTAGGTCCCCCCCCGACCGGGGTCCGAGTAGACGGGTTCGGAGGATCGCGCCGCATCGCCGAGGCATGAGGGATGTAGCTCGATGTGGAGCACCATGTTCTCCACCCCTGGGGTGCGCCGATGCATCGCCGACGTCGCCGATGCATCGCCGCCGATACCTCGGCGATGCGTCGCGTTTCTCCGACCTCATCTACTCAGACCCCATCTGGGCGGCCTCCAGTGTGGGGTAGCAGTCATGGGGGGTGGTGCTCAGCCGTCAGGAGGTCCAGCGTACTCCCCGCGTCGGCCTCGGCTTCAGGGCCGGCCAGAGGAGCGCGGGTGGTGGGAGGAGGACGAGGAGGAGGAGGAGGAGGAGGAGGAGGAGGAGGAGGAGGAGGAGGAGGGGGAGGAGGAGGAGGAGGACAACTCGGATAATTTAGGTTTCAGATGGGGTTTAGACGGGGTCGGAAGATCACACCGCCTCGCCGATGCAGTGGCTATGCGGCTCGACGTGGAGCCCCATGTTCTCCACCCCGACGGCGCGCCAATGCGGCGCGATCCTCCGACCCCATCTGCTCTGACCCTATTTGGGAGGCCTCTAGTGGAGGACGAGGACGCCAGAAATTTTACACAACTTAAGGCAGCTCTTTTGCTGCGCCCCCTCCGAGGGGCAGCGCTTCAAGATTTAACGCCGCCCGTGGCCCAGATTGGGCCGATATTGAACGATCCGGCGCAACAAAAAAACAACGCCGACATCGTCACGACGCGAACTTGCCGCATCTCAGCTTTTTTGCGCCCCCTTCGAGAGGGAAACCGAGAGGTACCAATACCGCCACTCCTCGAACCTATCCTTGTGTGCGTTCTGATTACAATTTCGAGACGAATCCAGCTGCGGAGGCGAGGGCCCCCCAGGAGGCCTAAACAGGCGGAAACGACGGGAAGGGTAGCGTTAGCGGTACCTTTTCCTCCCTTGTTTTGCCGGACAGGGATCCGCCGAATTTGTTTTCCATATCCTAGGATGGGGTTCTTGTTATTACTTGGACGCCTCCTACTCCTTCTTCTCCCTCTTCTCCTTCTCCTCCTACTCATACCCAGGCTTACTCACACTCAGATTTACTCATACCCAGACTTACTCAGACACAAACTTACTCATACTCAGACCTGCTCGTACTCAGACCTTTTCATTGTCTGATTTATCCCACACACAGCAGATTGTGAGGATGTCTCAGGCGGGGCGCTGGCTTCAGCCCCCCCTAAGGGGAGCCGCCAGGGGTGTTTTCACGGTCCCGTTCGCAGCAATTTTGTGGGGATGTCTCAGGCGGCTTGGGCTGCCAGGGGTGCTTTCACGGTCCCGTTCGCGGCCGTTTTGTGGGGATGTCTCAAGCGGTTTGCTTGGTGTCTGTCCCAACATCCTTCGTTGTCGGAGCAGATTCGGATAATGTCTCGAGCGGGGCGCTCATGTTCACCCCCAAGGTGGGCCAGATTTTGAGGATGTCTCGATCGGTTTGCTTGTTTGGGTGGCCAGGCTCGTGGGCGCAGATTCTTCTCAGGATACCACAGGAGGCTCCAACAGGCTCCAGGAGGCTTCAGGAGACCACATGAGGTCCCAGGAGGCATCAGGAGGCCACAGAAAGACTCAAGAGGCCACAGGATATCCCAAGAGGCTCCAGGAGGCCCCAGGAAGCTCCAGAAGGCCTCAGGAAGCCACAGGAGGCCCCAGGAGGCCACAGGAAGCGCCAGGAGGCATCGGAAGGCAACAGGAGGTATACGTATGTTTCTATAGATTGTCCTCCTCCTGTGGGGTCTCTCCTGGGGCACGAGTCCTTGGTGTTTTACGTGTGTTCCTATAGATTGCCCTCCTCCTATGGCTCTAACCCGCAATGTGTTATGTACGTCTGTTGCTATAGATTGGGCCTCTCCTGGGGCACGAAACCTCCCTCTGAGGTCCAGGAGGCCCCAAGAGGCTCCTGGAGACCCCAGGAAGCCCCAGTGGGTTTCAGGAGGCCCCAGGAGGCCCCATGCTCATGCGCAGAGACGCGCTCGTAATACTGAGGCTCATTCACACTCCAATCTTTTCGTAGTTAGATTCATGTCCAGACCGTCACAACTGAAGCCCGTTTATATTCGAAAGCTCTTGCGCCTAGACATTCACGGCGGACAGGTCCATGCGTATAGATGCACATATGGCGAGCTCCACGCAGTGAATAATTTTTTTTTGGTCCGCGGCCTTCCGTGCACCTCCTCGAAGAAGAAACACTTGCAGAGACATCAGCTGTCGGAGCTTTGCGCGGTTGTCTCGGATCCACGCTGGACCCCCCTCCCATGGCGCGCGCAGCGCGCCAGAAGCGGCGCGGGAGGTGCCGCCAGGGCGGCTCAGCGTCGATCCAAGACATCTGCGCAGAGCTCCGACACTCTATGCGTATGCAGGTTTGGGTGTCTCTGCAGGTCCCGTCGTTCCCTGAGATCAGACGTAGCGAGAAGTACAGCAACGTGAAAAATCACGGCCGAAGTCCCGTGACCCATCTTCCTGGTGCATTTGTCAAGCCTGATCGATCTGTGGGGGTCTTGGTGCCCGAAGTAGTCGGAAACGCCCGACTTGGCAAAATTGCCAGGATCTCAGGGTACGGTGGGGGCGTTGGTTATTAAGGAATGTGCCCAGGAGGCCACAGATCAGGGGGGATTTATGATGAGGGCGGCAGTGATGTCCACGGTCAGGCCTCATTTGGTGTCCCACCAGCTTTCAGGCCTTGGATTCCTTGTCTAAGGGTTTCTCATCCAATGCCCTCGCCGTAGCTCAGCTGCTGCGCCCCGTCCGGGAGGCGGTTGGGACGAGGGGGGGCTGGCCACGTCGCGATTCGCTCCGGCGCCTTGTGGGAATGGCTCACGCCCACACACGGCGCTGGCGCGAACCGTGACACGACCAGGAGGGGGGGGGAGGGGGGCCCCAGACATCCGGCGTCTCGAGCTTCGGAGACGCGGGCCCCCGACGCTTCGACCCTTTTCCCTGGGGCCGGCTTGTCATCCTGAGTAGTTGTTTGACGGCCCCGACGCCCGGTAAGGGCCGCGAGAGGCCGAGGAACAAAGGATTGCAAAAAAAACCCTTCGAAGGATTGCAAAAAAAAAATATGCCGGAAAAGGATTTTTTGCAATCCTTCGTTCAAAGGATTTTTTGCAATCCTTCGCAAAATGCCGTCTCGATTTGCTCGAGACGCCAGATGTCTGGGGAGGTCGGGGGCGGGGCCGGCCCCATGGCGTGGTCGCGACTGCAGCGCAAGAGCGGGCTCGAGGCAGTGCCGGCATGGCCCTCCGAGACCCTTGCACCCTCCGATCGCGCCTCCTTGCAACAGCAAGCAGCTCTGACTGTAATTACAAAGAGCGGGCTCCAGGCAGCGCCTCTTCCTGGAGGACTCCGCCGCCGCGGCCCTCGCCGCGGTGCCCGGCGACGGCCCCGGGAGCGGGACGCGAGGACGCGCCAGCGCACACCCCGCGCGCCCTCCCCCGAGGGGCGGGGCTCGGCCCTCCCCGGCGCGGGGCTCGGCCCGCCGAGGGCCGAGGGCGCGGCGGCGGCGGCGGCGGCTGCGGCCGCCGTCTGCGCGCGAGGGTGGCCCTGCGCCGGTGCGGGCGGCTCCTCTCGAGGAGGAGGGGCGGGCGTCCGCAGGGTGCTGCGGCGGGGGTGCGTGCGGCGAGGGCGCGCCGGCGACGCCGGCGAGGGCGTTCGAGGTTGGGGTCGGCATGATCGAGCGATGCGGAATCCCTGGGCGACGCGGTTGACGCCCCAGGACTCGACGGAATTGAACTTTGCGCGATCGGGGCCGCGATCGGTTCTGAACGATCGACGCGGTGTCAAAAACCCGTGCGCGCGCCGATGCCGCACGAACCCACCGTATCCCCCCTCCCTCCCCTGCAATGTCCCCTGGAGGGCTCCACGGGTCAGGGGAGGAAGTGGTGCCGATACCGCTGCCCATGTCGTGTCGCCATGGCTTGATTCGCCTCGAGATCCTGGCCAGAACGCGCCCCAGGAGGGTTCTTGAGAGTGGTGTCGGCCACGCTCAGAGGGAGGTATAGGGGGAGGGGGGAAGGCTTCCAAGAAGGAGGAGCCTGCTTCTTAGGAGGCGCTGGCCTCATCTATAGATGTAAGGGCCGGCGCCCTCTAAGGCAGCAGCCTCCTTTCAAGAAGCCTTCCCCTCCTTCTACCTCCTTGCGCGCGCCGCCAATAGTGGTATCGGTATCTCAGAAGACTCTGGAAGATCCCTGATGGGCACACGAGGGGCTGCGGAGGAACTCGAAGAGGGCATCTCTCAGAGAGGCCTTCGGAGGGCGGCTCGAGAGGGGGGTGGTGTGGGTGTCCATAGTGCTATCCTCCCCTTCCCCTCCATTGTCCTCCACAGGCCCCCTGCCTTCACACCTTCCTCTATTCCCTCTCCCACGCTCGCCTTCCCCCCCAGTCCGCCATACTCCCATATATTTCCGCCGAACCCATACCCCTTTTCCTCCCCCTCCTCCAGCGCTGCCACTCCTCCCTTCCGTCAGAGGCCTTGAGGTTGGTACCAACTCTAGAATCGGCGGTGTGCCTTCACCGAGGCAGGAGGATTCCGATCTCGGTGACGGTGGTCATGTTCGGGCTTCTTAGCTGGCCGAGAGATTACCACCTGCACCAAAATCGAAGATCATCTAAACTTGGTGGGGGCAACCTCCTGCGTTGGTGTTGGTTGCCAACTTCCAGGCCCCCAATTCCCCTCCCTGCTGTTACCCCTTCCGCACGTCTCATCACCCATGCGGAAGGGTTGGTGCCGAACAGGCCAGCGCTGCTGCATCCAATGAGCAGGGTGGCCAATCACTCGGATTACGTAGCTAGGATCTGGAGATCTACATTGATGCCCGCAGTGTCGGTGGCACAGGATGTCTCAATGGACTTGTCGGGGACAGAAGGAGCCGGGTTCAGTTCTTGGAGCTTCTCGGCGAAGATTTCTTGGGTAATGGCCTCCCATGCCATCTCGGTGTTCATGGTGGAGGTCCTGGTCAACGCAGTGGTCGTCTCTGCGATGGAGCGAGTGGCCAGCGCAGCTGTCGGAAGTAGCAGATTCGGAGCCAGCTTAGCCATCGGCATTCAATCAATCATCGCATGTCAACGTTTGGTCAATCGGTGGATGACCGTTCATAAAAGTCGTGACCCATTCACACTTCAACATTGGACACGATGTTGGCAACATCGCGCAACGTCCCCTCATAGTGGGCTCCAACCTCGGTGCAAGCGTGACGCTTTTCGAGAGCTGCGTGGCGGCACTGCTGATTCCGTGATTCTTCATTTTGCATCCGCAGTTTGGGTGGGCTTGTTGGGGGGTACGGCTGCAGTGGCCGTGTGGGCCGTTCACAATTCAGTATCCTGCAGACCTGGTGGGGCTGGTGGGATAGAGCAGCGAGCCATCGGCAACGCGGTACATTGCCAGGCCACGCTGTGCACATGTTCTTAAGCGTAAGATCCATGCAAGGGTCCCCCCTCGCCCCACATCTATTGTCATATTCTTGTTCTCGGCCAGTGTTGAATTGTTCTCCCTTGTCTCCCACGTTTCCCCGCTCCAACATCCAGGAGACCCCTAAACCCCAACACATGTTAGGAACCTTCAGGGCACCAAGCCGCCAGCACACCCTAACCCTGAAAGGTCTTCAGAACCCCCCAAAAGGGGGTAGTTAATTATCTGTTTGGCGGCCTTATTGAAGGGCTGGGTTCCCACCAATAGGGGATAACTATTTTTTGTCCTCGGCACCCGCGTGCCATTCCGAAGGATGAGGAGGAGGAGAAGAAGGAGGGAAGAGGAGGAGTGAAGAGGAGGAGGAGGAGGAGGAGGACTTAGGACCAGTCCTATTCATCGCCGAGGGAAAAAAGGGGGACCAAAACTAAAGACATTTGGCGGTTATTCCCCATCGCGAGCGCTTTCGAGCGCGCCCCTTCGCTGTCTGGGCGCGTTTGGGCCGCACAGGCTCCAGGATAGCGTAGCTTCCGGAGATCGCAGCGCCAGGGCTTCTTGAGAAGACGCTGGCCAGAGGGCAGCCGCAGCAGCATCCACCGTCGGGAGCCTTGAGAGATGGGGGTCAATGTCTAGGCCTCCCAGACGGGTTCAGAGTAGATGGGGTCGAAGGATCGCGCCGCATCGCCGATGCATCGCCGAGTCGGCTCGATGTGGATCCCGATATGCTTCACGGGAACGTCGCCGATGCATCGCCGACGTCGGCGATGCATCGCCAGTGCATCCCCGATGCATCCCCGATGCATCGCCGATGCATCGTGGCTCACATCGAGCCGGGCTCCACATCGAGTCGCATCGGCGATGCATTGGCGATACGGCGCGATCCTCCGACCACACCTGCTCCGACCCTATCTATAGGAGGCCCCTACAATGCAAACGGGGGTCAGCCAGAGCGCCAGATCTTGCAGGATCCTGCAGAGCCAGGGGTCGCATGGACCCAGGCTTGGGACCCAGGTCTGGATTGGGCTGGGTCAGCATGATCCCCGATCCGCACCCGCTCGCTCGCACGCGGGAGCGCTGGCCCGCTCCTCCCCCGCATCCGCCCGCAGCCGCTGTGGCCGCGAAGTCCACCAATGTAGGCCTCCGCAGCCGTCGGGGGCGCTCCGCGGCCCACCACCGTTGGCGCCCCCCGCCCGCGCAGGGCCTCCCTCTGCGGCACAGGTCGTCGGGCGCTGCTCCTCCTCCTCCTCCTCCTCCTCCTCCTCCTCCTCCTCCTCCTCCTCCTCCTCCTCCTCCTCCCACCGGGGCCGGAGCAAAGCGGGGTCCGCCAGGCCGCCAGATGTCGCGGGATCCTGCAGGGCCACGGGCGCACTGACCCGGGCTGGGGCGCAGGATCCTGCAGGATCTCGCAGGATCCTGCGAGGCCTGACTGACCCGGGTTTGCAGTGATCCGGGTCAGTAGATCCCCAACTACACTCGGAGGGATCGCGGCGGACCCTCAGATCCGACGTTGCCAAAGAGTTGCAGCATCGTGAAAAATCCCGACCGGTGCTCCTGACCCCATATTTCTGCGTCATGCTTCGAGCCGGATCGATATGTGAAGGTCGCAGGGCCCGAAAACAAGCGAAAACGCTCCGTGTGAAAAAATTGCAACGCTGGGATCTCAGGGGCGGGCCCCCTCCCGCGTGTCAGGCATCCTCGGAGGCCCTTTCTGGGCTTTCATCCGTGGCTGCCCGGCGTCCCGCGGGGTGGGGTCGAGAGGTTCGGGGAGCCCGCGTGGGGAGACCGCCGTGTCTGGGTCCGACGCGCTGCCCGATACCTCGAGACCCCTGGCGCAGTCAGGGCGTCGTCGGCCTCGTCGGCCTCGTCGGCCTCGTCGCCGCCGCTGCCGCCGTCGTGGCGCGGGTGTCGTCTTCGGCATCGACGTCTGCCTCGTCGGCTTCGTCGTCGGCGCCGTCGGCGTCGGCGTCGTCGTCGTCAGCCTCGCCGGCGCCGCGCTGCCCCGCGGCGGCGGCACGGCCACGGCAGGTCGGATATGCCTTGCGCTCGCGTGCGTGTCGCGGTACTCCTCGCCGCGTCGCTGCTCGCGAGGGCCGCCGTCGCGGAGAGGCTGCTCCGCGAGGGGCGCGGGCGGCAGCGGGCGGCTCCCGCGGTGGGCCTGCCGTTCCGCCAGCGGCTCGAGAACTACGAGGAGGTCCACGAGCGGCGAGCACGTCCGAATCGAAGTATCGCTTACCCGACCCCCACAGATCCCCAGCCCCATCCCCATCCAGACCTTCCACAATCTCAGCACCCCCGGTGGAGATGTAACCCTCGGAACCCGAAGTGAACGGCCTATACCCCCATCTAGGGGGGCAGATCGGCCATGGGGGGGCCAGGCCACCACGCACACGGGGAGAGGGGTCGGTTGAACGATGCTCCGTATCCGCGCCTTCGCGCTCTGGATTCCGGGGCGCGATCTCGCGGATACGTAGTCGCACGGGTCATTGCCGTGGCCGCACGGGGCATCCGCGAGAAAGCGCCCCGCATCCACGGGGTCGCGGCCCAGGGGCCCGGCCCACGAGGCCGCGGACGCGGATGTGCTTTTCGCCCACGAGAGGTGCAGTACCACGGCTCGCTGCAGCTCGGCGGGCAGGACATCCCCCGCGCCGCGAAGTCGTCCACGCCCACCGTCTCCGGCTGCGCGTGGGAGTGGCCCGTCGCCGGAGAGTGCCCTGGTGCGCGGCTTCCGGGGAGCGCGGGGCGGCCAGACCCGAGCGCACGCAGGCCGCTGCTGCCGCAGCGCACGCCACCATCGGCAGGCCGCGCGCCCGAACTCGCCCTCCTGCTGATGTGTAGGGTCAGGGTCCCGCAGTGGCGCGCAGGCGGTGTTCTTCTGGGGCGTGCCCCCGGCAGCCTCGCGGAGCGTTGGATGAGGACGCCTTCCCGCCGCCTGCGGGTGGCTTCAGTCAGTATGTCCGTGTCCAGCGCTCCGACGGGTTCTCGGGGCAGGTCCCCATGCCGGTGGACGGGGATGAAGCCCTGGCGCGGGGCATCCGCGCCATCTACGACACGGGTTCTTTCGACATCCTGGTGGTCTCAACCAGGTGCCCGCAGTGCAGGGGTGCCGTCTACAACCCCGGCGCCTCGCCGACCTTCCACGCGTACGGCGGAGACGTCGTGGAGCACAGCTTCGGCTCGGGGCCCACAGAGTCCGCCCTGGGGTCGGAGGTGGTCAAGATCGGCCCGCTGGTTGCCCAGAACCAGACGATCCACGAGATCCTGAAGCACGACATGCCCGTCCTGGAGAACGCAAGCTTCGACGCCATCGTTGGCATCGGTCCCGAGGGGGACAGCGCCCAGCGGGCCGGGGGGTCGCTGCTGCAGAACCTGGGCATCTCCGAGTACTCCATCTCAGGGCTCGAGCTAAACGGTTTTTTGGCGATTTCGTGGACCGTTTTCGTTTTGGTGTCGCGTTGCAGCAACGGCGGAACGAGGACAGAACGAGGGAAGACGCAAACAGAACGAGAACGGAAAACACTATTTAGGTCCAGCCCTGCTCCATCTGCCTGGGACGCTCCCCTGGATCCCCCGGGTGGCTCACCTGGGGCGGCGGCGTGACCCCCGCGCAGAAGGCCAGTTCCGCCGCCCTGCGCGTGGTCGGCAGGCACCACTGGGCGGTCAGCATGCGGAACTTGCTGCCAGACGTCGGCCTCCAGGGAGAGAGGCGGGAGGCCGCGGGCACGCTGCTGTGCGGCAGGGGCTGCGCGGCGATTCTGGACAGCGGCACCTCGCTGATCGCCGGGCCCAGCCACTCTCTGCAGGGCCTCTCCTACCTCCTGCCGGAGCTGCACGAGAACTGCTCGAACTTCGGAGACCTCCCGGACCTGGAGCTCGAGCTGAGCGGCCGCAGGCTGCGGCTGCCGCCGGAGGCCTACGTGTTCCGTCTGCGCGGCACCGCCCAGGAGAAGAGAGCTGCGGGGCGGCTGCTCCTCAGCCAGGTGCGCGACGCGGCGGACGAGGACACGTGCGTCCTCGGGTTTCTGCCGATGGACCGGCACACGGACTGGGGCCCCCTGTGGGTCCTCGGGATGCCGTTCTTCCGGCAGTTCCACGTGACCTTTGGCCTCGCCGAGAACGTCTCGGAGAGGCGCATCTGGCTCTCCAGGGCATCGAGCTCCTGCGGCGCCTTGCCCCTGGAGGCAAAGGACGTCGGCTCCGAGAACTCGACCTACGAGGGCGTCGGCGTGTACCCGAAGGTGGTCGTCGCGCAGCGCTGGCAGTCTCGCAGGCCGTCCAAGCCGCGGGTCATCAGGGCCTCCTCGCTGCTTCGCTCCCGTATCGCGGGGGACTTGTGAGCCGCACCCGACGGCCCCTCCCTCCGGGGCGTCGGGCGTGGGTGCCACGCTCCCGCATCGCGCAGGCTCCGCCGTCCCCCATCCTCTCTTCGCCCTCCTCCTTCAACCTCTCCTCCGTCCTCCATTTCCCTCTTCTCTCTCCTCTCTGTCTCTCTCTCTCTCTCTCTCTCTGCATCGCCCCCATCTCTCGCTCCTCCTTCCTCCCTCCCCATCAGTCCTCGCTCAGCCGACGAGTGGCGACTGCATAATTACCGCGACCGCCGGGCCCCAAATCGTGCCGCTGCTCCCTGGGGATCCCGCCTCGCGTTCTCGTGTGGGGATCGCTCCAGGCAAAGTACGTAGCACTCCGCAGCTGCGGATGAGGGTGAGGGGGTGGGCGCGGGGTGGGTCGAGGGTGGGTCGCGGGTGAGTCGCGGGTGGGTCGCGGGGTGGGTCGCGGGGTGGGTCGCGGGTGGCTCGCGGGTGGGTCGCGGGAGGGACGACGGCGACGACGACAACAACAACAATCATTTTACGATTTCGTTTTCAGACGCTCGCGCGTCTACCAACATATATCTTCCAAACCCTTCGTCTTTGATCGAGCTCCCTTAGGGGGGATGCTATTCTTCCCTGCCGCGTGTAAGTGGCGCAGCCCGAAAACTGGAAGAACATGCATCATGGAAAAGGCAGGTAGCGAGGAGGAAGGGAGTGGAGGAGGGGAGGGAGGAGGGAATGGGGGCAATAGGGAGGGAGGGAGAAGATGGATTAGCGAAGAGGGATTAGCGAATAGAAAGAGGGATTAGCAAGAGGGATTAGCAAGAGGGATTAGCGAATAGAAAGAGGAGATGGCAAGGAAGTCTCAGGCGAGATCGCGGAGCCTGAGTAAAACAGGAGGAGGTCCCGAGCGAGATCGCGATTCCAAAGCGCTGAGAGGGCGATTCGTCAATCATTTAGTACGGAAGTCTCAGGTGAGAGCGCGGCTCCTTCTGGCAAATTGCAAGGAAGTCCCGACCGAAAGCCCCTATGTCTCAGTAATGTTCAGCGAGTATCAGGCGGGAGCCGCTGTTGTTGTAAACCTGAGAGGCCAGGGGCATCGTCTCACGCCCAAATTTCCCCGTTGTTCAAAAAAAGGTACGAGACCCGGGATGGGACACTTAAATTCAAAAACATTCGGTGCACCGGAGGGGAGATCAACATTAATCCATTCTGAGAAGCAGAAGTCAACAATCATTTTGAGATTGTCCGTTCTCTTTTACCCGCGCGTCAATCAACATTCATTTCCCACACTCGATACCCGCCCTCTTCGTCTTCGGTCGTACCCTCGGGGGTATATCTTCCTTACATGCGATGTGTAGTTGGCGCATCCCCTCAAACAGGAAGAGGAGGGAGACAGGACAAAAACATATAGCCAGCAGGTTACAGCAGCAGACCACCAGTCAGCATCGACGACACGGGGCAAGTGGGAGGGAGAAGGATGGAGCACGTAGCAGGAGGGGGGTTACGCGCAGGAGCGCAAGCGGCAGAACCAGACGTACTGGTCGTGCGGGCGGACCCTGGCGGTCGGGTCGGGCAGGTGGGCCAAGACGGCCGGGTCGAGCGGGCAGGTGGCTAAAGCGTCATCTCCGGATGAATCGTGACGAAGTCTCTAGCGATACCGCGATTCCCAAGTAGATCGTGAGGAAGTCCGCAGCCGAAGCCTGATGCACAAGAGTGTCGAGAGAGCGGCGTCTGAAGACGTTGCGAGGCAGTCCCAAGCGAGACCGCGATCCCAGGGTAAATTGTGAGGATGTCCCGCGCGAGAGCGCGAATTTGAATAAGTTGTGAGGAGGTATCACGCGGGAGCCGTTGTTGTTATAAACCCAGGGCCAACAAATTGTCTGAGGCTCAAGTCTTTCCCTGATAAGAACCGGGTGCGAGCCGCGGGAGGGGTACTTCAGTTCAAAGAACGTAGTGGGCACAGGGGGGATCCACAACGATTGTTGTAAGAGGTGATAGCCCGACAACAACAGCAGCAAACATGTTGATATTGTTCGCTCTTATCTGCTCGCGTGCCATTCAACTTGAAAATCCCAAACCCTGGATACCCGCCCTCTTCGTTCGCGATGGTACCCAGTTTGGGGGTACATCTTCCCTACCTGCCACGTGTAGTTGGCGCAGCCTGCAAAAAGACTAGGGTGAGGGGAACGATGGAGCACTAGAGAGACTTCCAGGATGGGGGGCTAGGATCAAGTCGGGCACGTCCCCCTACAGGAGTAATAGTCAAAAGTAGTCAAGCAAACAGTCTGGAGACGATGTGTTGACTGTTGTCTGACTATGTTTGATCTTTCCTCCAGCATCCGCCATGCCCAACCTGAGGTTAGAAGCCAGAAGTGATGCGCCAGAGCCGGACGGGCAGGTCGGGCGGGCGGACCCTCACGCCCGACGGCCGGCCGGGGCGGGCGGGCGGGCCCGGACGGCCTGCTGAAGCGGGCGGATCGCTGAAGCGCCAGTCCTGCACGACTCGTGGGGGAGTCCGTATCTCAGGTACAGCGCAAGGAAGTCCAGAGCGAGAGCGTGATTCTCAAGTACATCCTAAGGAGGTCCAGAGCGACTCTCAAGTAAATCGTGAGGAGATCCAGCGCGAGAGCGCGATTCCGAAGTGTTGAGGGCGCGGCGTCCGAGTACACTGCGAGGAAGTCCCGAGCGGGAGCGCGATCCCCGGAGAAATTGCAAGGATGTCCCGCGCGAGAGCACGATTGTGGATAATTTATGAGGAAGAAGCATCAGCCGGGAGCCGCTGTTGTTGTAAACCGGGGGCCAGGGGCCAAGTCTGAGCCCCAGTAACTTCTTTTGTAATAAACCAGGTACGAGCCCCGGGAGGGGCATTCATTTGAACAATAACAATAGGCACCGCAGGGTGTGGGATGAAGAGTAATCATTTTCAGAAGTTGGAATCCAACAAGAAGCAGAATCCGGGCCACGGAATTCTGCTTCACATACGCACCCAGGGATGGTGCAAGACCGTTCGGCCCCTAACTTCTGACTAGTCGCGGTTATGGGCCTCTCGTGATCTATGGGGGCATTTGAAGCCTCCAGATGGTGTTGCAGAGAGGAAACCAAGAGGAGCATAAGAAGATGGGAGTCGAGAGGAGGGAAGGGGATGGGGAACAGGAGACGAACGACAGCTCACAGGGAGGGACAGTACGAGAACCCAGAAGGCTAAAGAGAGGAACTGATTGGGGAGGGGGGAAGCGAAGAGGTGCGTGACCCCAGGCAGACCAAACTCGAGAGAAAGAAATGACACCTTTGCGGCCGAATGCCCTAAGCAATTCTGCACAGTTGCAATGTCGGCCACGATGGGGGGCCACGATAGGGGGCCAAGTTCTGGGGATCGGGATCGGGATAGTGGTAGGGGTAGGGATCAAGACATCTCTCCCAGACGCATACTGTCTGGCTCACTCCCACCCGCACTCCCAACACATAAGTAGTACCCGAGTCTCAGTATATTCATTGGGCGTCTGTGGATGAGCAGCTACTGGGAACCAATGCAGACCCCAGGTGCAGGACGCTGGGGCGAGGTGCGCAACACGTGCCAGGCGCGCCACGCGCACCAGGCGCGCCAGGCGCCCCTGAGGCCCAAGCGTGCCAGGCACGCCTGGTGCGCCAGATGCACAATGTGCTCCACGTTCGCCAAGTTTGCCACATGCTCCATGCGCGCCATGTGGGCCACGTTCACGGCTCTCGCAGAGTGTGTGCCAGGTGCGCCCGCGCACATCGGGGAACATGCCGGCCCCCACCATCTGTTTCGAAAACTTATGCACGATCGCAGCGGAGTGGCCTTCATGAGGCTTGATGGGCCTGCACACAGCAGGCAATATGCTAGCATCCCCGCCGTCCCGTTCAGATACCAATGAAAACTGGTCTGTAATACCTACCCACGCATGGCTAATATCAAGCCGCGAAATGCAATTTGCATGAGTGCTTTAAAGGGATGGTGTCCCTGCGCACAGCAGGCAATATGCTGGCACTGGCTAGAGGTATCACAAAAGGATACATAGATATATAGATAGATAGATAGATAGATAGATAGATAGATAGATAGATAGATATATAGATATATAGATATATAGATACTTATAATGATAGACAGATAGATAGATATATAAATATATAGATAGATAGATAGATAGGGATCGGGATCGGGATTGGGATTGGGATAAGGGGTAGGGATAGGGACATATACTTGGGATAGGGATAGGCTTGTTGTTATCGAGAACGCGTTTGGACCCCTTACTGACAAGCCATTCAGGGGCAAATCATTCAGAAACCTCAGGTCGAGCTACGTTTTTCGATTCATGGGGCCTCTTGGGAACGTCTTGTGGGCCTGGCCTCTGCGGGCCGGGCCTCTTGGGGTCGTCTTGGAACGTCTTGTGGGCCAGGCCTCTGCGGTCGTCTGGAGGATCGGCTCGGCAGTCTTGAGCCGACTTGAAGGTTGTATCAGGGCTTCTTACTTGTCTCGCAGGTCATGGAGGCCGTCGTGGTCCTGGAACCTTGTTGAAAGCGCGAGGTGCGCGTTCAAGGTTCGACAATCGTTAGGTGTGCTAAGTGGGGGCGCGTCCCAAGGTTTTTTTTTTATCATAGGGGAATGAATGCGAAGTTTGATCTCCGTGGGCCTCAGCTGGGCTATGCGCGAAGAGGTGGAGGAGGGGGCTGGGAGGAGGAGAATGAGCTCCCAGCGCCACAGCCAGTCAGCCATGGTGGATAGCCGAAGTGTCTCGTTGTGGTGAGTCGCAGTCTCATCATCGGTTGAGCAAGCTTCTAGTGGCGTTGAGGGGGTTGGAGGAGGCTGAGGCAGCAGGAGGGAGGTGCAGTTGTCGAGGGCACGGCCGGGCCGCCGGGCCTGTGGCTGGCGTTACGTTGCGGAGGAGACGCCGTGCATCTTTCTGTCGCCGGACGGCGTCGTGGTGTCGGTGGCGATCGGGTCGCGCTGTCGCGGCTACCCCGAAGACGCCCCAGAACTCCAACAAACAATGGCGCTGTAGGTGTTTCGCCCTTCTCGGCCTCTGAAGGCCAAGAAGGGCGAAAAGGTTGCAGGATCAAAAGCATGCCCCCAGAGAAGGGGCCAGCGACGCCACGTAATCTTGTCATGCGAGGTCTGCGGTGGGTGAGGAGGGAACAGGCGGAGGGCGGAGGATCAGGAAGAGTGAGGGGGTGGAAGGGGCAGGGCCCCAAAGTTCATGAGGATAGGGGGGGCATCGACGCCGGGACGCTCGCCATGGCCGAACGCATGGGCGAGTCCGATCCTCCCTTCAGCAATCCATGGATGGCGACCCCTGCATCCACTGAGCGACCCTCATACGCCGCAGTACCGTACACCTAGACTCTCATGGTATTGAGACCTTTCCCTTCAGTTCACAAGCGAACGGACAGGTTGCTACGACGCAGACGCTTCCACACAGAGAAGGGTGTTCTAGATACGGCTGGTTGGTCGGCCATTGAGCGCGATGAGCGGGGGAACATAATCTTGGGAAGCAAATATCGAGCCCCTCCTTTTCGATGGAACTATCTCGCTTCTCGCCCCTGGAAGTGACATCCCACCTCTGGAACCTGGAAGGGATTCCCGCCTCAGGGCTGTTGGCGGGGGCTCTTGCCTCCGAGGAGGTCGTCTTCAGGCCTCTCTTGGGCTGCCTTGCACCTATTACGCCTGCTTGATGAGGGTGATTTGTGGCCCTGTCTCCGATGGCTCCCCCAGACGGCCCCTGGAGCCGAACACCACGGGCTGATGCAGGCGCTTGACCACCTCAGCCCCGGGTGTTCCTGATGACAGGGCCGTGCACGGCGATTGCCAGGCGTTAGTCTTGGGATCCACGGATGGGGTGTTGGCCAAGATCCGCGCTGCGCCGCATCGGCGGATATGGCAGAAGATGGCCCGAGAACGCAGCTATCCTCCGATAGTGAAAAGCGTTTCTTGTATGTCGATCGAAGATGTCATTTCCGAGCTACGAGCTAGACGACCTACATATACTTTGCGACGGTTGGGCCGAGCAGTGGACCAAGGAAGTGGCTCTGGCCATCGGCTGGCCCACCAAAAACTTGGCCAGCTTAGACCAGAGTATTCTCAAATTTCGGTGCCAGGCCATGATAAGTAGCCCAGAGCTCCGGCCCCCCACTCGTGAGCTCTTCGTGTCCTTCCAACGACGCCTTCCTAGGGCCCCAAGTGCCATGCGCGGCATTGTGAGGGTGCCCCAAAGAAAGATCAGGGAGGGGAAGAACTTGAGATGCGTGGCGTACCACAGATCGGGGCCCCGACTGCTGGTCACCACGCGTTGTTTCTCTGCCAGCTTCGTTCCAGGATATCGTGGCTGCAGCCCAGAAGCCAGGCTACATACACAGGCCGCTTCACCTCGGTTGAAGCGACCGGCGACCGGTATGTTTGCACTCTTCTGCAGTGCCTGCGGGTCTATAGCCTCGAGCAGCGCCGTGCGATTCAAGGGTCCCACTTGCCATGCAGGTGTCACGCCAGACTTTCGGACTGCGCCGAGGAATCCCCCCTGAACGAGAGAATGTAGAGCTTACCCCTCCCTGGCACCTTTACTCAGGCTCAACAGAAGGGGGAGGGGGGATGTCTAAGTATAGGGAAGGGAGGAGCACGCAGAGAATAAAGAAGCAGCAGGGGGGATGGTTCCGTGGAGGTGGAAGAGGAGTAGTGGAAGGGAGACCTGGACCCCGGACCTCTCCACCCCATTCAGGGGCATTTCTTGTCCTCTGGTCGTTTTTTACCGAGCACAGTTTACACCTTTACTATGGCACGTCGGGATATAAACTTTCCAGCCGCCCTGGGGCAGGCGTCCCCGACGGCGGACAAGTTTATTTTAGAAGAAGAAAAAGCGCCATAGGCAGAAACGTCTGGCGCTCCGCGCGGATTTCCTGGATCCGCGCTGGGCCCCCCCGGCGGCGCCTCCGGCGCTGCGCCAGGGAGGGGGGTCCGAGGATACTTCCTTTCGCCGCTCCCCTCGGTGGCCGCGGCCCTCGCCCTGGGCTGGGGCCCGCGGATCCAGACATCTTGCGGTTCAGCGGCCGCGCCGAGGCGCGAGAGCGTTCCCGTGGGGGTCGCTGTCGCGGTCGTCTTCGTCGCCTCCGTCGTCGTCGTCATCGTCGTCGTCGTCGTCGTCGTCGGTGACGTCATCCTGCGCACAAGGCACAACGGCGTCCCCCCTGAGGAGGCGATCTACAGCTACCACACTACATGGCACTGGGCCTTGGGATCCTCACAGATCGATCTGGCTCAAAACGGCTTCGGGCACGCGCCGGCCTGAGGGCTGGCACATCATGACGGGATCAGCTAGACGACCCGGCATACCAACAATCGGTATGGTGGCGTCCCCGTAGCTCGTGTCGTCCTCCCGTAGACTCAGAACATCTTCGGGCAGAAGCCCCAGCGGGCTCACCCCACGGCGGGGCCGTGCAGTTCATGCGGGCACAGCCGACACCAGCGCCATCAGAGCAAGTCGACTAGCCAGGCTTGGTCAGACCTGAGCCCCCGCATCCTCACTTCTTGTTTGACGTTGCACTGACATGTATCTGGGATCGTGGCGTTCTGGGCTTGCGAAAAAGATACAGTAAGCCGACTTAGGCCGAAAACAAATTGGTTAAGCTTGGCTGGCGCAGCAGAAAAGGTAAGGCTAAGAGAATCGAGAAAAGTAAGAGGGCCCTAAAGGCCATAGATCATGCGCCCGCCAGGCTGCAATTCGCATCCTCACTCTCTCCGCTTTCCCTGCCCTCCTCTCGCCAGGATCGTCTCGAGCCCAGCAGTGTCGACCCACCCAGCAAGACCTCGAGAAGGGCAGGCACTCTGTCACACGATGCGGGGCAGGCGGAAGCCCTCCTGGAGGAGTGTTTGTTTGGGGGCACGGTCAAGCCGCTGGAGTGAGGATCTTATTGGGGCTCAGGAGGGGCTCCCGGTTTTCGGGTTGTTCCTTTCGGATCTGGGTCGGGGAGCCCATGCGTGGTCGAGGCTCTCCGTGGCCAGAACAGATCATTTGTGCCCTACTCTGCGTTCTTCACGGCAGCACGATGACTGCATCTATCCACCCTTGCCACCTCGATGCCTCCACAGGTCCGATGTCGGCGCCAGTCTCGGTGGGCATATACTGGCCTCCACGCCAGGGCGAGATGTCGTTCACCCGTCAAGACTAGGGCTCAGACTTGGCGCGGTGATGGTGTGTATCTGCCTCTTTTGAGGCTGCTCACGGCTGCGGCAGCTGCCCTCATATGCACGTGTTGAAACGCACGTGCTCAACAGGTCTCGCGTACGTGTTGGCCCACATTTTAGCGACCGTACCGCCCCGGACCGACGCGTTCAATCTACGTGTTCAGCTCCGTGTAAACACGCGAAGCGTTTCGTACTGGTACTCCTGAATCAACTAAGGCGTGGCGCAAGCATGGTTCAATCGCTACGGGCAGGCCGTACGAAGGGCACGACTGCCAAGAGAAGAGGGCGCAGCTGCGTCGAGTTCGGCGCCCAAAAGACCCGAGTGAGTAAACTCGGGCCTCCACGTGTCCGTCAGCTTCGTCCAGGGGGTCGTCGCCGCCTCGGCCCGAGACACGCAGAATGTATCCATACGCCACCACCTTACCTGGCCAGGGCCAGGCCTGGTGGTGGGCGCGTCTGAGTTCTCGTCGGATCTGTCGAGGTGGTCGGCGCCGTCGCGGCCCAGGCAGGGCCGCCTACGACCCGATTCGATGCGATCCGATTCGCCAGCTGTTGCCGCTATTCCGATTCGGTTCGATTCGCCAGCATCGGCCAGCTCATTCGAAGCAGCGGGGTCCGATCCCGATCAGAGGACCAAGAGGTCATGATAATGATACGTTCCAAGATTCCAGAGTTTTTACGATTCTCGGTATTCCCAAAAGCTTCACACGGGCTGCAAAAACGATGGCCGCTCGATGCTCTGGAAATCCTGGAACGTATCGTGAGCAAACCTTACGACGACATGCTCGCCTTATTCCAAATTTCGCAATAAAAATGAGGAGTTCACAACCCTCCCAGACAAGCAATTTTAGATCCCCCCCAGACCAGCTATGAAAGGGCGGCCTGTTGCCCAGACCCCCTCGAATTCTCCAAGACTGCACAAATCAGACCCCCCCTCAAGTGACCCCCCCCCCTGCATCATGAAATCCAGAGTAATCAGGCGAAGAACAAGACATGGCATGAACTGTCCGAGTTCCGCGTAGATTTCTTGGGTCGGCGCTGGGGCCCCCTTGTCGGCGTCTTCGGCGCCGCCTCTGGCGCGCTACGCGCTTCAGGGTTAGTTGTTTATCTATCTCTCTTCCTCTCTCTCTCTCTCTCTATCTGTATGTGTTTTTCCTGTTTGTCTCTCTCTCTCTCTCTCTCTCTCCCCCCCCTGTCTCTGTTTCTCTGTTGTATATATACACATGTATATATCGATACGTGTGTACATATCTATACACATATTGTAATGGCCTCCGACCAGTGCCGCCGATCCGGGGCGCTTCCGATTGTGTTTGGAGCAGTCCTGTGCGTCCCTCTCTTCTTCCTCCTTCCTTTTCCCTTCTCCTCCTCCTCCTCCTCTTTCTTTTGTTTCTTCTCCCTCCCCCCCTCCTCTATCACTTCTGTTCAGATTCCTGTTTCCTCCGCATCTTCCTCCTCTCTCCTGCTTCGTCCTCCCCCCCTCCTTCCCCTACCACCAGTCGAGCGCCCCCCTCCTCCGAGCCCCCATCCCTCTCGAGCACCCCCCTGGATCAATCGCCTCCCCCGAGCAGCCCCCCCTCTCGAGCACCCCTCCCTCGAGGATGTCTCCTCTCGAGCCCCCCCTCCCCCTGAGCACCCCCGCTGTCTTTCGAGCACCCCCCCCCGCCCTCGAGCACCCCCCTCCCTCAAGCACCCCCCACCCTCCTCGAGCCCCCCCCCCCCCCCCCTCCCCCCCCCCCCCTTTCGCGCACGCCCTCCCTCGAGCACTCCCTCCTTCGAGAATCTCCCCCCCTCTCGAGCACTCCCCCCTCGAGCACTCCCCCTCTCGAGCACCCCCCCCGCCCTCGAGCCCCCCCCTCCCTCAAGCACCCCCCACCCCCCCCCCTTCCCCCCCCCCCCTCGAGCTCCCCCCCTCTCTTTCGTGCAGGCTCCCCCCTCGAGCTCCCCCCCACCCGCCCTCCTCGAGTTCTCCCCCCTCCCCGAGCTCGCCCCCCCCCCCCCCCCCTCGACTCCCCCCCCCTCCTCGAGCTCCCCCCCCCCCTCGAGCTCCCCCCCACCCCCTCGAGCTCCGTCCCCCCACCCCTTGGGCCCCCCCTCCCTCGAGCTCCCTCGAGCTCCCTCGAGCTCCCCCCCCCCTCCTCGAGCTCGCAACTCCCCCTCGAGCTCCCCCCCTCGAGCTCTCCCCCCCCTCTCGAGCTCCTCCCCCCCCTCGGGCTCCCCCCCTCGGGGGGGGGGGGGGGGGGGGGGGGGGGGGCGGGCGAAATCGAGGGGGGAGGGGGGCTGGCAAGGGGGGGAGGCGCCGAGCATTGAATTCGTCAGTCAATGAGGTCCCCCCCCCTCGCAGAGCGAAGCTTGAGCGAGCTCAAGCCCACGCTCTCAGAAACTCACACGCCGGTATCTATACACATATATTTACATATGTATATATATATATATATATATGTTTATATGTATACATGATCCCACTCGCCTCCTCCGCATCCCTCTCCCTCCTTCTCACTTCCCCCGTTCCCGTCCTCGGCGTCGTCTTCCTCCCTCTCCTCCTGCTCCCGCCTCTGTTTGCCCCTCCCCCCTCCCCACGTCCTCGCCCTCCCCCGTCGTCCCTCGTCCTCCTCCTCCTCCTCGCCGCCCTCCGTCCTCCTCTCCTCTCCCTGTCCGACCTACCCCCCCCCCGCCTCCCTCCCCCCGCTCGCCGCCTTTCGCCCCCTCGCCCTCCGCCCTCCGCCCTTCCGTGCTCTTTCGCGCTTGCTGTCCCCCTCCGCACCCTTCTTGGCTCGAGGGGGCACTGCCCATCGCCACCTGCGCGCGGACCTGACACGCCCGTTTGCCGGCCCGCGGCTGGCGGCCGCGATCGACGATTTGCCCGCGGCCTGCCCGAGAGGAAGGAATGGAGAACCGCGGCGTGCCGCTGCCGGGAGGGCGCCTGGACTGCGGGCCGGCGGCGCGAGGGTTGCGCCTGAGCTCTCCGCCGAGGTCGGCCACACGTTGGAGTGGCCCTTCGCCGGAGTGACCTCTGGTGCGGGCCCACTGGAGTCCCTCGATCGTCGAACGCGATGCGATAGAAGCGTCTTGCGCGCTTGTGTGTTGGTCCCCCTGCGACCCCCACAAAGCCGCGCATCAGGGGTCCCTCGTTCCCAGGGTCACTCTTGCGTGTGGCCGAAGGGGGCGAGACTCCTGGGCCGACCAGACACAAGTCGGCGGCGCGCCCAGGTGGGAAGGCAGGGGGGGCGGGCCGTCTCGGGAGGATCAGACGGCGTCTGGCCTTCTGGGAAGTTCTCTGCGCCCTCTCCGAGGCCACAGCGGGGTTCTCAGAAGGCCTGGGGTACTCTAAAGAGCCCCGCCGTCTTTTGAGAAGGCCTGCCCCCTCTCACCTCGCCCCGCGGCGCGCCGCCGGACAAGAGGAAATGGACGACCGCCTCGATGGGCGCGACGTCCACCCCAGCGCTGGGCCCGCGAGCCAGCCTGGCGCCAGGCCCGGCGTCCAGCCCGATGCCCAGCCCGACGCCCGGCCCGATGCCCAGCCCGCCGAGCCCGCAGGACGCTGCCCGGCGGCAAGCCACAAGAACAGGTGCCCCGGCCTCGAGCTGTACGGGAGGTGCGACCACGACAGGGACGAGAACAGAGGCACGAGGGGGTATGCGTCTCACATCGCGCGCTATTGCCACTGCCCTTACCACAAGTTGTCGGATATGGAGAAGCGGTTGAGGATCCATGGGGCTATAGCCACACCCGCCACCTCCTCGATGTTTCTCTGGCTGCTGTTAGCCACTGCAGGCGCTGATTGAGGTAGATGATAATGTCCAGAGCTTGAAAACAATGAAGGTGAAGTTGAGGAGGAGAACGATGAGCATGAGGAACACAAAGAGGAGAATGTG